GTATCTTTAGCAACTGTAGAAAGTTTATTTAAAAGTGCCAGAAGTCTTTAAGGTTTTCATCCAAGTTTATCCCTTGAGCTTACTCTCTGTATCAAGCATTCTTATTTCCAGGATGTGCTTTCCTTTGTTCATCCTTGTGTAAGGAAGAAGGAAGTCTTTCTGTCTCTATAACTACAAAAGATATGTGCCCAATGCATGCAAATTGCTCTGCTCCACCACTGGCTTACGTTCAATGTTTTGCATCGTATCGCTGCTTTTGTATTCTTTCTGTCCACTCCTCCTCTCCTCTGCCAGCAATCTCCAAAGAGCAGTTACCATTTTGAAGTGTAAACTAAGAAGGGGAAAAACACATCAAGAACGGATCCATTCCTGGCTATAGGAGGAACTTCCTTATGCAGTCATCTGCCCCGAGCGCTGGGAGGGGTGAGCTGCTGGACACTCAGAAGTGTCCCCAAGGTGTGAACTCCAGCTGAGGGTTGTTCTTCCTCTGCACCTAGAACGTGGTCATTCAGGGCAAATTTTTTTTTTCCTGCATTTACTATAGGCAAAGGAGGTGGCAATGTGAGATGAAAATCAACGGTCTCCTTTAAAATGAAATGGAGTAGAACTATGTATTTGTTGAGCCTTACAAATGCACCCTGAACTTTTTAAAGATGTCTTCAATGTAATAACGCATAGTAATAAGCATGACAAACAAACTTTACATTGATTGTGCAATTAGATAATTTTACTAGCCAAACACTAGCTAAACATTTAGTCTTCTCCCCCCCGCCCCCGCCACACACGCACAAAAAAGATGGAAATACGCATGCATCAACCATTTTTTGCAAAGAATTTGCTATTTTTTACAGAGTGACCATTAATCTGTTATCACTCCTTTCTAAGTGAGTGGAAAGGAACTCATTTTTATCTAAAAGTTTTGAGAGCCAGTAGATGAGGATGCACAGACTCCATCTGCCGTTGCCAGTTTCTGAACTTCAACTCTAACAATCAGCTGGAGGGAAATGGGTTGTCGAAGGAAGGAAGGAAGGAATTGTGACTATCAAAATGGGGCTGAACAAACAGATGCTAAGAACTCTGAGGAGGTTGCAGACTTCAGTTGTTACCTCCCATGGGTTTTGCTTCATCTGCTCCATCCATGCGCCTCTATTCTCTAGCTAGTCAGCTCATTTGTTGCAAGCTTAGCTGACTATGGTAATCTTTATGAAGACACTTCAGTTTTATTTTTAGTGATTTAAAAGTAATTTTGAGCATCTTTGCTGAAAATTCTCTAGCTGGAAGATAGTAAATGCTAAAGCATACGAAAATAAGACATAGGAGGCATGTCGAACTTTCCTCTTTTGGCTTTGGCCTCTGTTCTGAAGTGAAGGAGACTCTAAAGTCAAATCCAATGAAAACGGAAGCATTTCTGTGGCAAAATAACCCATACTTCACCTATATCTGAAGGAGAAGGAAAGAATACATAAACTTCCATCTGAAGCTTGTTTTGAAGAGTTAATATAACTTAACAGGCTGCAAAGGTAATTGTGTTCAACTTCTCAGCTTCCTTGGAAAGAACTTCAAGTGCTGAACAGACCCTTTTGGTAGTATTTGCTCTAATGACTTCTTTGCAACCACGTATTACACACTCCCTTCAGATATTCCTCACGTGAGCCCATCTCTTTGCTTCATATTCATCTTAACAACGGTGAACAATTTTCAAGGCCAGCCGCGTTCAGAGGCAACGCCAGGACTTGCTGCCTAAACTCAGCGTTGCTGGAGCGGCCGGCAGAGACCTTCGAGAATGAGGGCCCTTCACTTGTGCTGCTGCTCCTTCAGTGGCCCTGCTGCCTCCACTGACCAGGCCCACTGATTTAACAATGTGGTAGCAAGGCTGAACTGTGCTTTTCCTCAGAACCCAAGGTCTGCCTCTCAGATGTAATGCCTAGTTTAAAATCAGCATAATTTTTGTCTTGGAAATGGCTTAGATGCTGTGAAGTGCAGCTACGGAAAGGAGAATGTAGGACCTGAGGACTTGCAGATTTTCTTGAACTAATTTTGAAATAAATAGTAGTTTGTCATTTGATCCTGGGGCTTATTTTATATTTTGATCAAAAGGTAAATATTTATAAGAAGGTCATGGTGTTTTACTCGTAAAAACTGGAGACAGAAGCAAATATTGAACTACTGCTCATTTATATTCCTCTCCATGTGGTAAATGAGAGTAGACCTGTGGCAGTAATAGCGAGCAATAATGTATTTAGAGACCAGGATTATAATACATGCTCTAAAAAGAGAAGTAGGACATTTCACAGGCAGTATTAATTTTGGCAGTAACTAAATTTGAAGTGTTTGATTTAATTTTAGTTGTATCTCGTGAGTGATTAGATAGAGGTTGGTGACAGTATTTGTATGCCTGCATGTTATTTGAGCTTAAAGCTAGAGAGGATCTGATTTTTTCATCTTGGAAGTGAAATATATCCGCTCTTTAAACTCTTCCAATATTCACTGTAAATTCAGGAATGCTTTGCCAATTTAATGCAGTGTTCATCATCTTAATTTTTTATCTATTTAAATAACTATTTATCCCTTCTCAGGTGAACATCCAAGCCAGTTATCTCTCAGAAGCATACCACCCTAAGTGTTAATTTTATTCAACTAAAAATACTGGTTTTTAATATTCCTTTAAGCCTTTTCCCGACTTTGTTTAATCTGAAACTAGAACCAAACACTCCTAAATCTAGTCATTTTTGTACTGTCAGAAGCCACAGGGAAAACCAGCAATCAATCAGAACCAATTTCACATGGAGAAGAGGCAGTTTCATGCCTTGTCAAGTTTTTTTAGACTATATCCTTTTTTTTTTCCCCCCTTCTTCTACCAAACCTCATAACAAATAGAAATAAAACACTGATTATTTGCTGGAGTTCAACACTCAATCGTGCATCTGAGAAGCTTGTTTAAATATATATATATAAATGTGCACGTGAGAGAGAGAGAAAATGTCTGTTAATGGAATAACTTTTGAAAGAAAAAAAAGTCTTCTGGAAGAGGAGTAGGAAAAAACCCCACTGTAAAATATCAAGTAGTTAATCATGAGTGCCAGTACTAGAGCATGTAGTGAACTCAGAAGATGAATTTGGTAATAATTACAAATAAAAGTTCTTTTAATCCAAAAAGCGCAAGTGTCGTACACTTACCAAAGTAATTTATTTTGTTCAAGTTGACCAATTACTGTATTACTTCTCTTAATATGTGGAATTACTTATTCCAGAACTAAAATAAGAATGGAATTTCTTTGATTAATATATGCCAAAATTATGCATAAGAACATTTTTGATTTTTTTAAGAAGTAAAAGACAGTTTAAATGTCAGACCATGCAACTCATTTTTATGTTAATTCTACTGCTATCAATAGAAAACTGGATCAAAATATAATAATAATACTTTTCCTTGGAGTAATTGCAGTCTATAAAAATTTTGAGAGCAAACAAAATTCAGGTTCTAGAAAATTTAGAAAACCTTATTACTATCCTGCCGATCATGCCTTTTGCCACCTGCAAGACACTTGACAGTAGTTAAAAACCTTGGTGCCATGCCAAAAAATATCTTGAACATTATTCCCTCATTTCTCTTACTACTGCAAGTACCCACTGGATGTAAGTTCTGTTAATATTAAAAGTGTTTTACTACCTAATCCAAAGTTAGTTGAGAGGCAGTTTCAAAAGCAAGGCTACATGGTACTGATAGGTAGTGCAGAAAAAAAGAGGATGTATTCCTGCTTTCTGTTAAATCCTAACCCAACAACAGAAAGCAAACAACACAGATGGTGGTTGCTTCCTTAGCTAACCACCCTACTCTTTTTCTCCCCCCAAAGTCTAGTGGTTTAATTCAAAAAGGTTTCCTGAGATTTTGGAGGAAAAAACCCATCTTTGCTGATTAGAGATTGGAGATGGAAAAAGTCCAAGCTCTTTGCAGTTTGAAAACCTATCAGCAGATAAAAGCATAAAGGAAAAAGAGAAAATTGCTGTACGTTAGGAAAACTACAAGCAGATGTGATAACCCTCCCACTTAAAAGAAATAGCTACATTTATTTTTTCATGGCTACTTCGAGGTATATGAAGAGGACATCTACCCCTAGACAATAAGGTCTGAGTCTGCACTCTGAAATGACTAATTTTTAAGAATTTTTAAATCCTTGTGATTTTAATATATTTGCGTATGATTTTTTCTGTCTACTAAAACTTGGAGAACCCTATAATGCTTTGAGCCTTCATTGAAGCATGCCATTGTGAATTCATGTCAATGATGTCCAGACCACTTATTTTTCTAGAAATTTGTCGGTGGCTAATGTAAATTGTAATTCACGAGGATGTTTGTCTTAAAGCTTTAATTAAAGCCCATGGATTATGAAACTAGCTGAGAACTGCAAGTATTCAATATAATTTTTAAAACTGCTTCCGTTACTAAATTTGTTGGGAGCAGAAAGAAGACAGGAAAATATTGAACTGATGGAGGTGCTTAGCTGTACAGTAAATAATCTAGTGAAATTGCTCAACAAGGGGAATGGTTAAGGTAATTCATGTAAAGTGTTAAGTGGTTAAGTTTATTGTGCATTTGAAAAAGATCTTCTTATTTCAAGTCAAGAAAAGATGACAGGCTAAACATGAATGACTTAATTACGAATAGTTCCACCATACTCCATCTGCCTTAAAAAGTCTCACACTCTACCATTTTCTCAACTGAGTAAACAAACCTCCTGGTTTCCAAGAAAGCCAAAACTATAGTTGCATTTAACATCTGCTTTGTTAAAGCCATATGGATGCACCTGATGTCTATGAATTAATCCTGTTTTCACACAAAATAATTTTCCCACTGGGTTTTTAGCAACATGCAGAGTTGTTCTGTCTCTGAAATACCAATCATCATATTTTCCTTTGTTACCTTAGTTTTGTTTTCAATATTTATTTTGAACTTACTCTTTGCAGTAACCGTCCTCTCTCTTTTTTTTGTCCTTATGCAGAGGATTACTACTTCAGGAAAACAGCAGGTTTTCAGAGGCATTGCATTATTATAAACTGGCAATTGGTAGCAGACCCACACTAGCTTGTAAGTATTTCAACTATACAAGCTTGCGTAATATTGACTATTGTTTTTTAACAAAATCTTCTTACTCTTCAATAACTTTTTTTTCAGAAATTTTTCATTCAGAAAGCAAAAGGGGAAATTGTGCACTTTTCAGTTGAAAGCAAGTGTTTATTAGTCAACAACTACGTTTAATGTGGTGCAGGGAAGAAATGGATAATGAGTTAACACTGGGCAGCACTGCTAGAACCTAAAGTGCTTCTGATCTGGGGTGGTGACCCATAGATGCTACTGCCCAAATTTTCAGGCTCCAGTTTTCTGTTTCTTACAGCCAGTTCCTGATTTTTATGGTATGTTGTGTGACTGAATAATACAAATATTTTTAAAGTCTTTTCATTTTTCCTTTCTTGCCTGGGGGAAATGACCCATGGGATATTGCCAGCGATCGGTTCAAAAATTAAGTGGGTGCTTTTTAAGATTGCTGACTTTTTTGTAGCTTAAGTCTTATAGATATGTATTTATATACATACATGTGTATACTTATAAACATATGTATATACGTTGGTAATATTTCAAACAAAGATGCTATATGCTTGATACAGACATAATAAAAGGAACGAAATGGAGCACCCTGCCTATCCAGTGTTCCCTTCCCTCCTTCCTCAATCTTTATAGCCACTTTCTCCTCTCCTTGTCCCTGAACTTTTGCCTCTTCTATGTTCCTCTTTACACCAGTGGTTGATCTATATTGTACAAAAGCCAAATTAGATAACCATGGCATCTCTTTCAGATGTTACTTTGAAGTAAAACAAAGATTAGATAAAACATAGTGGAACCCCATTAAAAGATAACATTGTTTCCCTCTTCACAGCTGCCTATTTAAATACTGGTATCATCCTGATGAACCAAGGGAAGACAGAGGAAGCCAGGAGGACTTTCCTGAAGTGTTCAGAGATCCCTGATGAAAATTTGAAAGACCCTCATGCTCATAAAAGTTCTGTTACTAGCTGTCTTTATAACTTAGGAAAACTTTTCCATGAACAAGGGCACTATGAGGTAAGACTCCAGATTTGTCTACACTATCATGATAAAACCTTCATACATAAATAATACCTATTGCTTTGATCCAGACATTCAAAATACATCACAGGCACAAATTGATTGTATTTCACCAAATCAAGGTTAGTGTTCTCTACAGAGAATATTTATTCTCTACAGCCACAGGTGTGACAATGGAAATTAGCAGTGTGATGTTCTGATGTCAGAGTTAACATTAGCAATGGTCACATCGATATGTGTTAATTCATTTTTTTTGGCTTTGTCTCCATGGCTGGTATGCAAAGGATATAGCCTAGTAACAGACCAGCCAACCTAAAGTGTACTGGCTTTTTAATTCAAAATAGAGTAAGTCCATCTTTGGTTTAAAAAATGCTATTATGGTTGCTTCTGAGTCTCAAAAAATGAGACCTAGTTGGAACAATTCAAAACTACAGTGATTAAAAACATCCCATTATGTGCTATTTTCAGATAACTTGACCTAAGTGCTGAAGTGCGTTGGATATTTTTAATGTAACATATGCTGCACCCAACCCATGCCATTTCATTTACATTTGCAGATGTGACTTGTTGTGAATCCTCTGCATTCTCTCTGATGAAATTACTAAAACTGGACATGCGTTTGAGGTTTGACCTTTAGCAGTATTTGAAAGAAAGTCACTCTCTGCGTTGCCAGGCATACTTCAGAAGAGGAGTTACGCATGGTTTTGATCCATATAACTCTTCCTGACCATGACAGTTACCTCAGCTGTTTAAGATTAGGCACGCACAAGCTCTGTGGATTCTCTGTCATGTATGCTGAATCCAGCTCTGTCAGATGGCAGTTACTAATTGGTTAAAACACAGACACAGACAGCTAATACATCCATAAAGATAAGAGGACAGCAGCATGTTGTCTGCATGGCCATTGGAGTTCGAGTGCAGTGCCTGGGAGGTGCAAGGGATTTTAAGAATATAAACTATCGGATTTCTGCTTGGTGGTCATTGCAGTCTGACCCAGCCTTGATTTGATCATACCTTTAGGTTTTTTCCAAGCAGATTTTGGCATTCACAAGCTGCAACTACTTGATGTGATGATGTAGGTAATGATGCAGAGCTAACAGAATGACCAGTAAGCATCCTAAATACTGAATGAATCATAAATGTGTGATCAAGTAATTCAAGGCACAGCACATTTGCAAAGGGAATCCAATTTTGGCATCCTTGACGCTATAGTCCATCTCATTCTTTCTGTTCAGCAGACTTCAGTTGTGAGGATTATGGTTTGTTATTACTTGGCAGTAGACAATAATTTCTTTATTTTTAGGTCACTTAATGTAGTTTAGTCATCAGAAAGTCCTTCGTCTACAGTTTGATATTATTCCATATTCTCTGACAGCCTATAGAATTTTATAGATGTTTATAAACTCATGAATCATTGAGGGGTTTAAACAAATGTTCCTTCGATTTCCACCTGGAAAAAGAGTTGCAATATTGCAACTAATTTGATCTCTTGTCAATAAGCTGCAGTGAATTTGGTAAAACTTTCGTAAATGAGAAATCTGAACTTTCTGTCATACTTATGCTGATGTGTTTTCTTTCTCTCTTCACTTTTCATTTGGGTAAGGAGGAGAATTTGGTTTTACTTTATGTGTGAATGACTGCTTTTGAAAATGGTGCTTTACTGATGATTTGTCCCACTTGTGTGTTTCTTTTCAGGATGCCCTTATAGTTTACAAAGAAGCAATACAGAAAATGCCAAGGCAGTTTGCACCACAGAGCTTATACAACATGATGGGTAAGTGCGTTGTTAGTGCTTCAGGAAGATACTTGAGGAGTCAGGCAGGGTGAAACAAAAGATCTTAGCCAGGCAACTGGTGTTCAAATGAATTAGCTAATAAAACCACGAATAATTGCCTTCAGTAGATGCGAGCCAAGCCAGGTTCAGAGCTTAAATGTCAGCAACTGCAGTGCTGGTTAAGGTGCAATAAATGGTGACACTGTTAGATAGTGGATATTTTTAAGAGTGTCCACGCAGCACTTGCACATTTAGAATGCATAGTGTTTTTCTCTGCCTCCAGAATCTCTCATCCACTACCTTGGAGACCTCATGTGCAATTCACAGAGGTTTTTTTTAATCTCCGATTTAGTCATCTTTGGAACTCAGAAGAAATTGTATTTACTTCATAGAAAATGGAGTGAGATTGATTACAACATAAAATTTAGTGTGGGTGTTGGATGTTAAATTCCCTTGTAAACCAATAAGATGTCCAAGCAGGCCCACAGAGATAGTTGGTGGGGTTTTTTTGCAGGTTGTGCCAAAACTTATTTCGCAGCTGATGTAGCGTTATATATCTACAGTTGAGAGAATTCTTCTTCCAGAACCAGTCTGTCTGTCCTTCAGAATTTTAGCCAAGTCCCTTGAGTACTCTAAGAAACATTAATTTAGCTGAGGTGTCAGCTTTAACTTCAGGTCCTCATGTTCTTCATCACATCTTTATACAGAATACATTAAACAGCTAAAAGAAAGAGGATAATATGAATTATTATTTATAGTATTCAGATGTGTAAGCAAGAAGACAGGTTGTTCATTGTTCCAGAGATGCTTTTAAGTGTAATTCTCTCTGAAAGGGCATGTGTTTCTGCTAAGCAATTTCAGTGTCTGGCCCAGTAGACTGTGAGCCTCTATCTGGGAAAGAAAAGGATATAAAATGCCTTTAAAGTAGTTCAAAGTAGAGCAATTAAAAATATATGTTGAAACAATTAGGATCAACAGGAAGCATGTGGGGTTTTGTGGTTCCCACCCCCGATGCCTAAAATACAAGGGAATGTATTTTTTGATACCAATTGGTTTGACACAGTTGTTGAAAGGTGGCATCTCTCACTCTACTTACTTAGGAAAGGCATCTCTTATTAGCTCCTTAAAAGTACTTTGGCGTAGGAAGAAAATATTCTAAAATTGTAGTTGTAACTGATGCTACGTGTTTGCAAATCTCTGTAAATGCTAACGTGACTTATCTTGTCACAGTGACTAAGTATCTAATGTCAATAATAGTATAAACAGTTCCTTGACAGTTCATACAGTTCAATGGAGAGTTACTGCTCCCTGAATGCTGAGCTTTATCAGATTAATACAAATGGATATAATCCCTAAAATGCATAAGTCAGTAATTGGATGTAGTTTTGTTCATAGGGAGTCTTAGCTGAACTATTGTTTTATCAGTGTTATTTATCAGCATTTGCTGATAAATTTGGTGGGGCTATCAACAGTCCCCACTCCGTGCTTACTATACTGCAGTGCTCCAGCAAACCTTCCGCAGTTTGACTGCCCTCTTTAGTGCAGATATGTATTTTATAATTCTGATAAAAGTGCTTCTCAGAAGTACAGAAATTGGAAAAAGTAAACCAATGCTGTTTCTCACATGGTGGTTGCTCCATCACAAAGCAGGCTTATGCCACTCTTTTTCTTTTCCCATGAATAGAAGCTCCCTTTAGAACCATTATGACCTGTAAAATTCTTCAGTTTTTTACTTTTTTGCCCATTGGTTACTTTTTTAGGTTCAGGAGCCCTTTCTCAGCTTCCATTATAAACACAGCAAGTTCACTCTGTTTTTGGGATTTGCATTCATTAACTTACAAAGCAATAATGAACACAAAAGACCAGCTCAGTCCTTTGCCCGGGCTTGGCTGCTGCTATACTTCCTCCCTCCGCTGCTTAGCCCATACTCTGGCTTCTGTTTCCTTTAGGCAGCCGCTGGCACTTCATGGATGTCCTAGCGGCATAACAGGTTAGAGTCAACTAAGATTACCTTAGCCCCTTTAAGCCTATTGCAAAGAGCAACAGTGCAATTGTTGAAAGTGCGGCTTATCATTAATGTAGCATATATTTGTATTTTGGTTGCTGTTGTGATGGCAGCTGTTGCAAGGGAAACCAGAACTTGCTTCACACTAGTTGCTGAGGTGTGGCTTGTTGCCTGTGCTGCAAAGGTAATCCAAGAGGCTACATAAAGAGTCCAGTAGTGACTTGAATTGAATGCAGCGCAGGTTTCTTAACAGCAGGACTCAGACTGATTTGTTGAAAGCTGTCCTGGATGCGTTTACGTGAGCGTACATGACTGCAGTTAGTTAGGTTAGTCTCTCCTACCTGTAATAGTATGACAAGACACAGCTAGATAGCTATGCTCATTTTATAGTGTGGAAAGAAAAAGATACCTTTGGGGAGTAAATAAGACCATCTAATTTAGACATCTATTTTAGATTATACAAATAATCCCCTGCAAGCATATTTTTCCTGTAAAAGGAGCCAAGATGACTAGCTTAGACTTGCTAGCTCAAGTTGGGTGAGATAAATCCTAAACACCTATTCAGTCATCTCTTTGCACTGGGTGTGACTTGAGAACAAGGCAACTGCATCCATTATCAGGAGTGCATCCGCTCTGCAGATCATACTGTTTCATTGGGCACCCGAAGGCAGACTGGATTGTTTATTTCTGTTTTGATGTTCATGATAAAATTATAAACATGTTCACTATAACACTTTCTTCGATAAACAGCATTACATCATAAACTTGTCTCCCTACTTCTTGCCTTTAAAAGGGAGACTAGAGGAACTGAAACAGGCCAGTTCTGTCTCATCTGCATGAACCTGACTCTGAGCTATGTCCACTCACTGTGTGCTCATTGCTGAGGAGGAAGGGGGAGAAAGTGGCGAGTGCTCCCCATCTGCTTGGGAAGGAAGGGTCCTTCCCTGTCTTTTTATGTGTGGAAAAAGTCTTTATGTTTTATCATGAAATCCAAGAATAGCTACAGTTTGAGGATTATCTGCTGCAGCTGTCATTGTGACTGATGCATTCTGAGACTCTAGCAATCACTCTGCTTGGTTCAATGTTAGATACTGGTGTTGGTGTGCAATGTAAGAAAACAGTGCTTCCTCTATTTTTTAATAAATATTCAATCATTTCATTGAAGATTTTCTGGAGGCTTTTTCCCCCGTACGATGAGCATGACATACTTGGAAGAGAATAAACAGGAGACGAACTGTTTAAACTGAATTAGGGTTTGAAATCCAGAACTCCAAGTGTGGTAGCATTAACACTTCAGCAGTGTTAAGCCTTTATACCACCTGTTTTCCCCATTTGTGTTACTCTTCTTTTCCTGTGCTTGCTTCTATTGGCTTTTTGCTCTGACAGCGACTCATTTCTCCAGTGTGCCAGTCTGCCTGGCTGACTCTCATCCTTTAAAACTCTAAGTAACTTGCCTCTTAAAGGAAGCAGTATTGGGCCTCAAGAAGCAAGCCATCCGTTTGACTTTGCATTTTATTCATGGTACAAAATGCAGACCCAGAAGACCAGCATCAGATGTTCTAAGTTTGTGCATATGAAAAGTTGCAGAGTAGATTTTGGTCTCCTGTTGCTGTGATTTATTTTGCCAGGTGTGCAACAACTCAGCTAAGGAAACCATATGTTTCTCTGGCTTTGTACCAAGGAGTAAAACTTTTTCTTTTTTTTTTCTTAAAAGAACCAAAACCAGCTAAAAATTTAAACTCTAAAACTAGAATCAAAATAATTATTCAACAAGCTGTATAGGGTTGGCTTGGTATTTGTTTTCTCTATGTCATATTTCTTTGATGTAAATTAAAAAGTACATGCTAAGGTTACACAGATTAATTTGCTTGGCATGGCAACATGCACTACAAAGGCCAGAGTCCAGCTCAGCTGCATTAAATAGGTAATATATTTTGTTTAAAGTTTCAATTAAAACCTGAGGTCAAAAGATAAAATGGCCCCTGTGGGATCTTGAACACTTTAATGCCAATATTAGGATTGCTTAAGGATCAGCCTCTGCTCTAGATGTCTTTTGCATTCCTTGAAATCTGATATCGTACAGTTGATTGTATTACATTGCTTTTAAAACCACACTGGCCCACCTGCTTCAGTAATTCATACTCCTGCCAGTTAAGTGGTGTGAGGTGGCCCATGGAGGCTTAATTTTAATACTGAACAGTAACAAGAAAGATGTTGGGGTGGCATTGTTCAGGTTTAGATTGGCAGGATACTGTCATAAAGAAAAATGTCTCGATAGTACTTCATCTGCCCTTGCCAACTAACATCTGAATGTCTATTTTCAATTGCATTTAATGCAAAGCCTCACAAACACTGATGAGAAATGCAAGTTAAGAAAGAAGCTAACATTGCAGGAGTGAGTACAGTTAATGATGCACAGATTAGAGTTTAGATTTCTCCTTGCTAATCTGCTACATTGCACATGGACAGAAAACAAATCATACGCAAGTGGCAGCCAGGTACAGAACAGGAAAGAGGAGCCACATTTTACATCTGGTGCAGAGGTTTGCATCTTAAGTACAAAGGCTTAGCATGCAGAGAGTCTTTCGGTGTTGATGATTATAACATAACTATTGCTTTATTTGATTATGCTTTTGGGTGGATGTGGCTGTTTGTACAAACCTGTTAATATTGTTAAGGCTCCTATCCCATTTGCCTCTTGCTCCTATTAAATGCTCTTTTATTGAATTACTTTTAAATATTGTTTAGAACTCCAAGAAACGCTTTTGCTGGTATAGTTTTACAGTTCATGCTGTGCAAGACTTACTTTGTAAGAGCCAAAGATGATTGAGCTGTGAAATACCTATCCCACATCATAACTTATGCAGAGCATGGTACATGCACTTGTCTGAGCTCCAGTCATCAGTGTGCTCCCTATGCACCTCATGAAGCTTTACTGGTAATTTCTTACTAAATGTACATTACAAAAGATTTTTTTTATTTTAAAACTAGCTTA